CAATGAGTGGGCGGGGCAACTGCATCCCTTTTTTCCCCAGCCCCACCCATGGACCAATCACATGCAGAAAGCATCTTTGGGCGGAGTCTGTTCCCAATCCGACCCACCTGGGTTTCCCCTACCCCCAAGACACGCAGCCCAGAGGCGGGGGAGGGGTGGCAAGTGGTGGGCCCAGGGGCCGGTGGGCTGGCACGGGAGGAGGCGGGTGGTATGGGGTGAGGACGGGGTGGGCTAGGCCTATAGGAGAACAGGGAATGGGGGAACTTGAGGATGGGTGGAGGGCACTGGAGCCCTGCCACCATCCCAGGACCTTGGGCAGATCACCCACACTCCCGGGGCCTCAGTTTCCCCATCTGTAAAATGATGGTCATAATACTTCACCTACCTCATAGGGGAGGTTGTGAGGCCGCCGTCACCTGACCTGGGGGTTGAGGCAGGAGGACTGTGAAGGTGCTACCCGGGAGCAAAGTATTATTACTGTAGCCTGAGAGCGAGGCCCCCCTGCCCCTCCCCCTGCAGAGTCTCCAGGGATAGCCGAGGCTGGCCTGGGCCCATCTATCTCTTCTCCACTGTGTCCCAGGTCCCTTCATGAGCGTCATCTGCCGTCTTTTTGGGCACCCTAGATTTGGTTGTTATCTTGTTCAGGTATCCTTTCTTGTGACCATCTCCCTATGTAACTGCTGTACAAATTCCACCTGCCACAGGACCCCGCACCTGCCCACTGGCGCCAGACGCCAGGGAAGGGACAAGGAAAACAGCCACAATAAAAGCCAAGGGGGGGGGGGCAGAGCCCCCAGCCCGGCTGGGACCCCAGGGGTGGGGTTGGTGGCCGCTGTTTGTATTGTGTTTGAGTCCTTGAGTGCAAGTGTTTTATTTAAAAAAAAAAAAAAAAAAAAAAAAAAAAATTGCAGTGAAGAGAAAATGAAGAAAAACTGAAGAAAAAAAAGGAAAAAAGAACCATACAAAACATTTTCCACCACACGCACCCTCTAAGCCAGCAAGATTTCCTCTTTACAAAATCATATTTTTGTGGGAATGGGCCCTGCTTTTTGTGGCAGGGCCCGTTCTGATTAATAAAGGATCGTGACAAAGTAGGGCCTCGGCTCTTTCCTCCATGGGTCCCAGCCCTACCTCACCTCCCAGGGGAAGAGGCAGCGGGGTGAGGGGGATGGGGAGCCTGGGACTGAGTCTCCCCTTGTCACCTTCGGGATTTGGCTTCACTGGTGATGAGGTCCTCCCTGAGCTTCCAGCTCGTCCTCGGATCTAGAATCTGAACCCACCAGCTGCCCAGCAAGCAGGAGAGCAGCCATATTTCCCAATCAGGCCTGAAGCAAGGCTTGTCGGGAGTAGAGTCTCCCTGAGGTCCTCTAGAGCACCCGGCCTCCCTCAGTCCCCAGGGGACCATCACCACCCTCCAAGGCAGGTCAGACAATCCGAAGCGGGGCCCTCCACCTTCCCTACTGTCCCCTGATGCCGGCTGGGCCATTGTGGTTTCAGACGAGTGTCCCCTTCCCGGTCCTCGCTGGGACAAGGAAAGGGATCCAGGTCTGAGTTGGCTGGATCTGTCTTCTCTCCATCCTTTTCTGGTTTAATCCTTTAGGATTAGAAAAGTCTCTCCCACTCAAAAGAGGCCATGGCCAGTCCCGGTCTGAGGACACTGGGCCCCAGTGTCTTCTTTCTCCAGTCACTGTGGTCCCAGGCAAGTTATTTCCTTCCCCAAGGCCAGGGTCTTTAGTTCACAAAAAAAGCAATAACCATCCCCACCCCTCCCCTCCCCTCCCCACACACAGCCTGGGGGAAGCTGAGGCCTGGCAGCTCTCAGGGTACTTTAGAAGGAAGGTGCTACATGTGTCGCAGACACAAAAGGGGCAAGTGCACCTGTTACCATGTGTCCACCTGCTGGCCGTCGTGCCCCTGCTCCCCAGCACCTGGGGTGGGCGGCTAGCTGCTTCCTTTCGTGGCACTGAGTACCCCCACCTGAAGCTGCCCACCTTCTCCCCTTCCGCCCCGTCGATTTCTTACAACCTGGCTTAAGTGTCCCATTAAAAGGTGGGTTTTTTTTTTTTTCCTTTTGGCTTCTGATCTCTGTCCCAGAGATTAGAGGGAGCCCTAGGGTCAGGTAAGTAGCCTCAAGAGCACCCCTTGCCAGAACTTCTGTTCAGGATCTCTCTGGAACAATGGCTCTGGAAAGCTGGGCCGGGAAGCAGGGACAGCTCAGCCTGGCAGACGGGACAGCCTCTCGCCCTGGGATCAGGGGGCTCCTCCTGGACTTTTTGCCTTCTCCTGCCTTCACTCTGTTGGCTCTCTCTTCATCCATGCCTTCACCAAGAAACTTGCCCCTCCCTCCCTGGGCCTGGGACCACTGTCCTCTGGTGTTCTCTTCCTCATGCAAGTCCCTCCTGGATGCTACGGCTTTCTGGAAGGCCATCCTGGGCCACGTCCTCCTCTCCTCTCCCTCCCCCACCAAAGACAACGGAAGGACAACGCTTGAACATGCTGTATGCCCCAGCCTGTGGCTCCCCTGACCATCCGTGTCCCTTGAAGATGCCCCGGTCCCTGTGTCTGTGTCCTGCGTGTGTGTGTGTATGTGTGTGTGTGTGTTGCGTTTTGTTTAGATTGTAAGCCCCCCCACCCCGGGCAGAGATCCCTGTCTGAATACATGTTCTGTGTGGTGCACCCAGGTGTGCTAATAAATGTCCATCCTCAGAATAAGAGTGCCGGGTGTCTTAAGGAAACTTTGGAACAGGTGGCTGAACAAGCCAATGTGGTGGCATTGGAAGCAGGGAGGGGCTCCTGGGCAGGGTTCCCTGTTCCCAAACACCGTGTTCTGCTTTCCTGAGCCCCTGAGGATGGGTGGGAAGCAGGGCATGACTGTAGCAAAGTTAAGAAGAGGGTTCACGTGCACACACACCCCACCCTTTGCTGCTCTGCCGACCAGGTCTGGCCGTGGGGAGGCTCTGGGAGAGAGCAAGAGCACGTCCCACCCATTCCACACCGAGACCTTGACCATCAGCCGAGGACAGAGGGGATCTCCCGTGGCGTGGATTGAGCCCTGGGGTAGGAGGCCTGAAACTCACGGATGAACAAGTCCCTTCCCTGGCTGGGCCTGTTCCTAGCCCTGCCACTGCCTCTGCTCCTTTGTCGTTAGTGTCCCCACTGCCTGCCTTCTTGCTCTTATCCCCGTCTCCCTGATACACGGACAACTCCTGCACAGCTTCCCTGCCATGCTCCCCCAAGGCCCACCCGCCGCTGACCGCCTCGGACCACGTGGGGCACTGTAGACATGGCCCACTCCCCACCCCCGGCCTTTCAAGACCCTTCTCTTTCACCCCAAGCCGCCTCCTAACCCGGGCCCAGTCCAGTGACCAACAGAGCTGCTGGGCCGGACCTGACCTTTGGGCCTTGTATGACATCAGCCCCGTTGCCATGGTGATGGTGACCTGGCTTCTCACGGGAGATGAGCCTCTAGGCTTGAGGTTTTAGGATCTTTTTTTCTCTAAATCTTCTTTTTCCCCCTGAACAATGAGGGGAGAAAGAAATACCGTGACTGAGTAAAAAAAAAAAAAAAAAAAAAAAAAAATGATACAGAGGGGGAGACTGAGAAAAAGGAAAATGGAGCGAGGGAGAGAAAAGAATAGAACCACGGCGGGGCGGGGGCGGGGGTTAGTACCAGCGGGAGATGAAAGGTCAGCCCAGCTTGAGGGAGATTCAAATTATATTGAAAGTCAGGAACCTAAGAATTAAGCTGGAGAGGGCAGAGAACGGTGCCTGGCAGGCAGAGTAAGTTAGAGCGAGACAAGAGACCAGCCTTGAGCAGCCAGAGCTATTTGTAACCGAGGACAAGCACTTGTTCCCCAGACAGGACACAACTGTCGGCCAGAGCCAATCTGACGCAGAGCTGGGGCACATGGACAAGAGGGCAGTGCCGGAGGGAGCCCAGGTTCCCCACAGCGATGGGACCCGGTGCTCCCTCCCAGGGCTTATAAATAAACAGGCATGTGGGAAACGCACATTCTTTCTCCAAGAAATATAATTTATGTTTACAGCCAGTTTTTTTTTTCTTCCTAAAGAAAACACTACCACATGGGGCCACTGCCCCTGACAGTGTCCCTGAGTGTCCCTGACCCTGGCCCCCTCCTCCCATTATTGCTTGGATGGGAAAGATCTGGCCCTGGGAATTGCAGAGCGATACCCCACTCCTCACCCCAAGGCTGTCCCTGGTGACGGAGCGGAGGCACACAGTGCTTGTCCCCTGCCCCACACCGTGCCAGCTACCCTGTCTGTGCCCATTTAAGGGAATGGAGAGTACAGGCAGTCGGAGAGGTTCTGGAGCAGCCTCCCAGGGCCGACGACCTCTCTCTTCCGCGCAGGAGGCCCTAGAGGCACAGTGGCTTCTTTTCAAACTTGACAGCTGGAAGGCTCAGGCTGTGGGGAAAGGAGAGAGAGCGCTCTTCTCCCAGCAAGATTCCGGGCCCATGCCTAGAGAACAGAACAGAATCAAAGGTGGGGGTGGAGACCCTGCCCTCTAAGCGCCCCCCTTCCCCCATGCAAATTTAAGAGGGCTTGGGGAGGGAGGGATGTGCAGAAGATGGCCAGCGGAGGGGTAAGGGCAGCTCCGGTGTTAGGGCCCCCATCCCAGTTTCCAGGACTTCTGTCCTGGGCCCCCGCCCCAATCCCAAGCCCCCGCCCGTGGCCCAGGCCCTTCTCCCAGGGCAGTTATGTCTCACACAGGCGTGTGGTCCACCCCAGAGGTAGCGGCTCCTGCACCAGAAAGGGTAGGGTCTAGGAGATCCAAACTCCAGGAGGAGGGGGTTGGAGCGGCAGCCTGGGCATCCAGACTCAGCCAGCAGCGAGAGGTGACCCTGGTTCCAGGAGGAAGCCAGCATCTCTACTGTGCTGTCAGTGACTCTGATGTCAGAGACCCGACAGAGCCATAGGGAACTTGACTGAGTCGGGACTTCGTCCGAGGACTGCCCAGAGATCAGCCAGGCGGCAGTCTCCTTACCAAACAGGAATACTTGAAGATGGCCCCCAGGCCTGCCCGTCCCCTACAGATTGCCCAAAGCGGTCCCTCCGCTTCCCCAAGGTAGGGGACCACCGTTCCCACAGTCCTTCCCGGAGCCCCTCCTCCCAGAACGGCCGAAGTCCATCACCCAGAGCACAGGCTCAGGTGCCCAGTCCTGGGGCGGCTTCCAGGGCGGGGAGGCTGCCCCCGGGGGGCCCCAGAGGCCTGGAGCTCCCGCCCCCTATGAGTAGGTCTTCTTCCTCCTCATCCTCAAAAGCCCGAGCTGGGCGCCGGGGCGGCGGCCGGGGCGTGGGCTCGTCACGCTCCGCCATGCGCTCGACCGCGCCCTCGCCCACGAGGAAGACGGTGTCGGCGACGCGCGGGGGCCCAGTGACCGGGTTGTGGTCGTAGGAGAAGACGCGCAGGGCGCGCAGCGGGTGCAGGTCGGGGAAGCCGCCCAGGCGGTTGCGGTCCAGGTCGAGGATGTGCAGGCGGCCCATGCGCAGCAGCGCGGGCGGGAACTCCTCGAAGCGGTTGCCGTAGAGCCAGAGGCCGCGCAGGCCCGTCATGCGCGGCAGCTCGGCTGGCAGCGCGCGCAGCCGGTTGTCGCCCATCTGCAGCGACTGCAGCGCCACCAGGCGCAGCAGCGGCCGCGGGAAGCGCCGCAGGAAGTTGCCCTCGATCCAGAGGCAGCGCAGGCTCTGCAGCTGCGCGAAGTCGGCGGGCAGCGCCAGCAGCCGGTTGCCGCCCAGGTAGAGGCGCGTGAGGCGCGGCAGGCGACACAGGCCGTCGGGCAAGCGCTCGAGTTTGTTGAAGTCGAGCGCCAGGATGCGCAGCTCGCGCAGCTCCTCGATCTCCTCGGGCAGCTCGCGCAGCCCCGTGCCGCTCACGTACAGCTTCTGCAGGCGGCTCAGCGCGCACACGGCGCTGGGCAGCCGCCGCAGCCGCCTCCCGCTCAGCTCCAGCTGCTGCTCGCCGCTGCGCAGCTGCTCCTCCGCGTCCGACGGCAGCTCGTCCGGCGTGGACTCGGCGATGCCCATGGTCACGGGCCCTGGCCGGGGCCGCCTCCGCCGCCGCCGCCGCCTCCCGGCATCGCCCCCGCCCCGGCCGCTCCCGG